TTTCTGCACATAAACGTGCCCCACTAGGTAGTTCTGATCATTGTATCATAAAAGTGTGCCCCGTCGTTTATGGTAAGACTCACTCCGGTTCACTGGCCAATAAGCCCTTCAAAACTCTGAGGCGACGAGATTGTTCATCCTCAAATATTGCAAGTCTCCAGAAAATGCTGACTTCTACTGATTTTTAAGTTTTCAGCAACGAAGATCTGTCTATACATTGCACTCATTTCATTTATTATCTTAACTTTTGCTTCGATCTTTGCTGCCCGGTCGAAGCCATCTCCTTACGTGTCGATAGATTTTCCTCACCATCACTCAAACAATATAGAAGGGAAAAGAACGAGCCTACAAATTTAAAATGACTGCCCATGTCAACCAACTCTCTTAAGCAATAAAAGCTGGGATTTCGTGACTGAATGCTCTATATATCGAAGCCGTTTTATGCAGCAACAACAACTGCCGAAAACTATAGACTTTTAAAGCAGCTATGCGGTAAAAAATCCGTTAGGCAGATTAGATCAGTGGACGAATAGAAACTCAATCCTGAGTTCTGTTCTTCTTCACAGGAAGCATCTTCCACTCCTTCGTCCTCTCTGCTTTTGTTGTCTGGCTCTGGTCCAAAAAGTACATTCCAACAGGTTGAAGTCAATCGTGTACTCAGGAATCTGAACCCAAAGCTCTTTCACCAGTTGTCTTGAAAGAGTGTGCTAATACCCTCACCATACCCTTGACAGATCTTTTTAATCGGTGCATACACAGTGGAATTATTCCCGGTATTTGGAGGCCTGTCAGCAAAACACACGTGCCAAAGAAGGAGTCCACGAAACTCCGTCCGATCGCGCTTTTGATGGACTGAAAATAAGCGTTGCATTTGCTCCCTTAGTTACTATTTTTGATGAGTCATGCCGCACTTTTGTGTCGACTGATGCGTCTGAGGTTGGTCTCGGTGCTATTCTGTCGCAGCTACAAACACTGAGAGGAAATAGTTATTGCTTACGCATCCCGGAAACTCTCAGCGCCATTATTCAGTTGTGGAGCAAAATCTCTTGCTCGTGTTTGGGCTTATGAAAAATGGCATCTTTTTCTATTCGGTCGTCGTTTCACTTTATGAACTGATTACTCCGCACTTATAATCCTCCTCAGCAATGGATCTAAAAGATCGCGTCCAGTGCGCATCGATCGTTGATATGCTAGACTCCTTAACTACAATTTTCAAATTGTGCACCGGCCGGGTTTGCAAGACCAAGTTGCTGATGGATTATCTCGCTTACCCATGAGGCTGTAAGATGTTCCAGAGGCAGTATTGGTTTCCAACCTTGGCTCCGACCTAACAGCGTTGACTATCGATGAATTACGAACGGAAAATGTCAACGACCCGTTACTACATCAACTCGAGTATGTGCAACAGGGATGGCCTAAGAACAATAAAGTCCCCGGTGAGTACATTCTATATTACGCAATTCGAGAAGAACTGTCAGTGATAGATGGCTGTGATGCGTGGTTCGGTTGGTAAACAAAATAATTGTTTGTGCACATGAGGGTATCTTTCGGACCAAAAACCGAGGGTAACACTACTTTCGGTGGCCAAGGATGGCATCCAGCATCGAGACATTTTTGATTCACTGTAAGGCTCGCCACCTAGTGGACAAAAGTCGTCTGCCAGTTGCAGCTCCAATATAACCTATGACTTACCCGATGAAGCCGTGGGCTAAGATCGTCATCGATATTATGAGGCCTTTTGCCACCGCACCAACGAATAAGAGAACTTTACTTGTAGCTACATGTTTTTACAGTAAGTGACCTGAAGTCCACATGTGCGATCAAGTGACTACTTCGGTTGTGTTACGCTGGCTTAAATACTTGTTCAGTCGTTTCTGACTACCGGAAGAAATAGTCACGGACAGTGGACCACAATTTCGTAGCCACGACTTCACAGTTTTCCTCCAATGCCGTAACATAAAACATTTCAGACCTACACCTTACACTTCTGCGGCCAATGGCATAGTCGAGCGGCTAAACCGATCCGTCAAGAAACCCATCCCATTAGGAGGGTCGGATTGGGAAGATGCTGTCTTAACTGCTGTATTTTGTTACAGAACTGGTGAACAGGGTTACCGGAAGAACGCCGGCGGAGCTGATGTTAGGAAGGCCCTTACGCACTAAACTAAACACTGCACATAACCTGTTATCTGCGGGACATGCAGAAGTTTTAAATCGCATATCACATTACTAAAATTCCAACGCCAGACCGTCTGCTCCTATGCAGCCTGGAGCATACATCCGCGATAAAAATAAACGGGCTATGTCGAAAGGTCTCCCAGCTCTGTCCGCACCGTTACGAATCCCCCAGACACTAGGTCCAGGGACCTATCGGTTGGAAAACGGCCTAATTGCTAGCGCACGTCGGTTGCACACGGCCCATGGACCAGCACCCAGTCTCAAACTATGTGTGAACACCAGACCGAATCGCCGCTACCGTGAAGTAAGCCTCGCCGGTTCGCCAGAGATTAGGAGCCTGTCGATCGATACCAGCCCCCGTGACGCTATTCATCAAGAAGGGGGTGCTTGTTGTTGCCGATTCCTGATGTCCTTCCTAACTCATATTTCATTGGCTGGCTGAAACACAGCAACTCACTTCTCATAGGTTTTAATCCGGACGGTAAAATATACTATTCTGTGTATACCACTGGATTGAGTGCCGATACACATCCCGCCTTTTCTTTTGCCTTCTTGATACAACAATATGTCTGTCCTCCGTAAAGATCGATTTAGTAGGGGAAGTGGCGTAATTTTGTACTACCACAGTGATCTGTTTCCAGGTCGTTCACGACCCAGAGCTTCAAGTTGTGAGCTTACTTTGGTGCCGCCTTCAACTAAGATGTAGTGAGACATATTTAGTTTCCCTCGTATGCCGTCCTCCGATGTCGACTCTGGAAATGAACAACCGTCCAGTTTCTGCACTAAAAACCGTTCTGGCTCAGCCTAACTGTCACTCGCTGGCCTACACTCCATAGCCATGTTACTTCTGCTACTAAATTCAGAACAGTACAACATGGAAATCGAAGTGGTCCGCATAATACTACATCACAACATTTTATCCAACTTCATTAATATCACCCATTGCTCGTTTGGAGCGGAGACCCCCTGATGTCGCGTGAGGGAAGTTCGTCGGTCAGTTCAACACCTTAGTAACAAACGCGTCAGAGATTAAGACGGTTGGCTCAAAATAGTAAAGTTCTTCCTGAGGAGCAGGACGCGGAAACAAATGACCATGAGAGATTCACTTTGGAAGCATACCAATCCAATCCAAACGACGGAAACTGTATTACTTACCTAACTGAGCGAAACCACTATGCTAACCTGGCCCGGGAACATACATTGATGCTCAGGCAGATGAAATGCTAATCATTTCGAGAAATCCTCTATCTTTCCTCTCGATGAATTCTGATTATCTAACACCGTATCCGTATGCTTGAGTTCATCTTAGCTGGCAATGTAACGTACGTGGACTCACCTCAACTTCCATTGTTCATATTGTGGTTGAAAGTACCAAATTTAATTATGAGGTGGCTGCGGCATCTAACGTGATAACTCCGCCAGGTTCTCGGAGCGTGACTCACTTTTCTTCCCCTCCCCCTCAAAAATATCAGCGCAGGACACTGCATCTATTGTTACAGTCCCTGCATACTCAAAACGCTAACTCAGTTGCAATGAATCGACCAATGAGGCACTCGAAACTCCATCCGAATTCATTTGTCCCGATGGCTGCGTTTTTCTGTCGAATCTACGAATGGTCCGCCACTCGTATTAGGTGGAGCAAGCCAATAATGAGTATATTACTAAATGACAGTTTTGTCTGTCAGAATTGTTTCTAGAGATAAACAATAATTAAAGGTATAGTAAACGGTCAGATAAAGCAAAATAGTATTAAAAATAATCAGGAAAAATTGTGAAGATGGTTAGGAACCCAACTAGTAAGAAGACTAGGAATGATAAGGCGCAGAGGATGGGTGTACGTGCACAACGAAGTTGACACCCATATCGAAGAGAAAGAATGATGTAGTGGTTTGGACGAATAGCAGCAACAGCTGTTGTTTCGCTCAGGATTCTCGGGCGTTGCCGAATGATTCTCGTGGGGCAGACTCGAGCAGAACACGAATCCGGCGCATGGAGTCCATAATGTTGCCGGCAAAACGATCGGAGGACTAAAATGTGCAGAAAGTGAGGAGATCAGACGGTGACCAAACTGCACAAAATGCTGGACAGACGAACAGATTGGGGTGATGCAGACATACACGAAACCGGTCGCGAAATGTGCAGTGCGTTGCGTCGTGCGGCGGCAACACACACCTGCATCAATTCTGGCCCTGTGGACTGACGTTGATCATGAGGGTCTCGAATTAAAAACCAGCTCTGAGTCGGTAACCATCGTGAGAAGTGGTGAACGCGACACGGTGGCATTGGAGTAAAAGCTTCGGATAGCAGTGTCTACACATGGGATTCAAATCGCAGTTCTCCTGTCTCTCCCTGATAAGTGCAAGTAAGTATGAGCGGTTGTGTGTCGCTAGCGGACAGCACCTGGCGTATACAGTCGCGAAACAGATCAAAAGTGATTCAAAAGGTAGCAATTAGCCAACAGAGCTCTGCTTTAGAAAGATAGAAGCTACCAGATGAGATAAATGCGGTAGATTATGCAAATGGAGATAAATGAAGAAAGTTGAACGGAGTGACAGGCAGTTAAGCAAAGTCATATGTTGGCGCCGCAGCAAATTTGCATGAATGCGAATGTGATTACGTAGACGGATTGGTGCTTCAGGACGCCAAAAAAGATTGCACAAACCTCATCCACAAAGTAGGTGATCGGTCGCGATGCATATTGACAAAATCTGAGTGTCACAGCTTAGTCTTAAAATCAGCCGTTACCTTTTCATTGGAAAATTGCTATTATTTTATGTGCTGCGGATTTATCAGTTTTCACTAAATATGTTTGGCATTTTTTCAATTAGCCTATCTACAAAGTCACTAATGCTGTTCTCCGTCGTTGTTGAAAAAGAGCTTAGACGTAATGCGCGCTGTAAGCGTTTGCTGATTTCGCTTATGATATCATAAACGCTACATTCCCCGACGGTGCGAGGCACAGACCAACTGAGTGGTCTGACCAATATGTACAGCGAGCTCATATAAAACAGGTAATTATTCGTGTTTTTATATAATGGATCCTAAACGGACTTTTAAAGTGTTTTCAGGTGAAATTTACTAGAGAAATAGAGAAAATAGAAACAATAACAAACATATTTATTTAAATGTGCAAGTAAAGTAATACGGCCATGCATGGAACCCTCTACAGGGGTCTGTTTCCATACAAGGTATCTCCTCGAATGGTTTCACCCGCACATCCATGTTTCATCCGGCTATGCGCCGGTGTGAAAATATAGCAAACAAGATAACACTATTTTTACTTATCTTTTGGGCCATCCAGCCCGTTCTATCATTCGGCTCAGTGGGGCATGGCAGATGCGCTTTGGCGGAAGCCCACGTCGACGTTGTGAGCGATAGACACCGTCCAACTGACGTAGCCTGCTGTTCTGAATGCGTATCGAAGTACGCTGACATGCGAGTTGAATAAACGCTCACTGGTCTTTGGTCTTATGTTCACCACACCTTAGTAACAGCAGAAAATCCTCATGTTGTAAGTCTGATAACAGACATGGACATTAGGTCTCTTCGGGATCTCTGGAACTTATCGATGCTCGTCGGCACATTCCGGCTGGAAGCGAACGCAATGAGACTCGCAGAAACCTCCAGGCAAAAATCCGTACTAGCTTGAAGAGAGAACGCATCGTGCGTCAGAGTTGGAAGTGGCCATTACCCTTGGGAACTATCGGAAGTTATTCCGCCTGATACAAGAAACGGATAGTAGGAGACCTGGTGTTAGTGAAACAATTTATGACGAGAGTGGACAGCCTATCCACAACTTATCAAAACGTTTGGAGCGTTGCGGTGAGCATTTTTAAAGACAGTTTACTCGGTCAAGATTGTTGGATTCTTCACCGGCCAGTGATCGCCCTGCTCCATGAGCTGTTTCTTTGAATCCACCCTTAGTGTAGAGGTAACGAGCTTGTCTCGTAATCTTGCGGCACGAGTTCGAATCCGCGTAGGGATGGGCGTCCTCGCGGTATACTCAAACCACATAAGACTGGTAATGGTCGCATGGCAGCGAAACGTCGTTACGGCGTACAGCTGACACATTATTACGGTTGGCTTGCCGAACAACCTCCTCGTGGTGCCAGCTGGGTGCTTCGGTATTATGCCGTTCCAGCAAATTATTCGGCGGCAATGTTCCAGAATGTGGTTAGTTCTCGCCTGGCAAGCATTCTCCCTATAAAAAGCCGCATATGTCCGCTAAACAACGATGTGACGTGGCGCATGTGACTCGCCACTAAATAAAGCTACTGTCTCCTGCTTCGTGCTGGCGAAACATTGTATTCTAACAATTTAATGCTGAAATTGTGGGGAGCATTGGCCCCTATTTGGTAAACGAACAAACGAAAGGCGTATGAACTGGACAACCAGTCACTAGCTCCCGATAAGCGCGATTCCCTGAATTCGCTCCGCTGCCTTTTTGGGCAGGCCAAAGGCTCGGGATAGTGTCCACTAAGTCAACAAGCTACTTCGGCTTGGGCAACCGGGTAGTACCTCGCTCTCCGGCGAAACCATGGACTCTTCCGTGCTGTGTTGTTTTTAACGATATATGTACCTTTCTCTGAGTTCCATGGTTTTTGATGGCTCCACGCCTATTCGTAGGCTGTTGCATGTATATATATATATATATATATATATATATATATATATACCCACCCTCTCGCTCAAAAATCGAACGTGTGATGGGACTGTTGAAGTTGAATAAAGCAGCGAGACCAGATGATCTTCCTCCAGCCCTCTTTAAATTCGGGAGACCTGCTCCTGTGGATGATTCACCCGAATTCCTAGTGAAACTGTCCCAACCGACGGGAGCCGCTCCGTCATAGCCCTAATTTTCAAGGGTGACTCAAGGTCGAAATGTGGCAACCATGGAGGAATCAGTCTAATCGACGTGCACTTTGTGATTGTCTAGTCAGAAAAGTTGTGCCTTAAAGATATGTTAATATGCGGATATTATACGCGCGTAGCTCCGGCAAAATGAGGGATTAGGGCAAACTATCATCGCCCTTCAATATATTCAGCGATGTGAAACAAGGATGCCCGCTGTCACCTTTCCTCTTCAATTTTGCTATTGACGAAGTCATTTAGATCGCGCTCACATGACAGAATTTAGAAGGTGTGGATCTGCTCCCAGGAGAACGACTTCTTGACTTGGAGTATGCTGACGATATTGCCCTAATCTGTGATAGCTCCGAAACGTGCTAAGCGGCACTGGCTTTCGGTCACTTCGGGCTTTGCTTCGCACCGTTTAAGTGTAAAGCTTTCCTCCAAGATTGGCCTGGAGCGCTTCATTCGCTGACCCTTGGTGGGGATCAGCTAGAAGTCGTACAAAAGTTCAGCTACCTGGGAAATTGTGTCAGTGCCCTTGGGATCGAAGATGAAATCACGAACCGTATGGAAAATGGCCGAGGCGATTTCGCCAACCTTAACCGTCTATGGCGCTGGCGCGACATCACTCTCTCCCTGAAGGGTAGAGTGTACAACGCAGCTGTACGATCAACCCTATCGTACGGTTGTGAAATCTGACCCCTTAGATCAGCCGACATAAGGAGGACAGTTAAGTTCGACCACCGGTGTCATCGCAGTTTGGCTCACATCTGGTGGGAACACAATATGAGCAATGAGCGTGTTCGACGCCTGGTTTACGGCACAAAGAAAGGAAATGAACCGCTCAGTACCGTTATCTCACGCACCTCGCCTTAACGGCTCGGCCAGGTGTTACGCATGACAGCCTACCAATTTCCGCGACGTGCGTTGTTCGTGCGCCGAGGGTGTGGATAGAAGAAAAAAGGTGGCCAAGCGACTACTTGGTCAAGAGGAATGAAGGCCCTCAATTCGAATGGAGCGTCTCGACTTCCTGGTTAGGGTCCGAAAGACAATGAACACGTTTGACTGGATACACTTCCTGATATGGCTAGGAGCCGACCTCAAAGGCGTTCGTGCTGTTTCTTTGTCCCCCCTCATCTCTTTTAGCCTCCTCCTCCAATCACGATCACACTTCGTAGCCTAATATAATTTTGCGTAATATTTATTTCGCTGCACAGTAGCCGGCTAGTAGCTTTCCGGAACGATGTTCATCCGTTACGGGTACCTCAGTTGGTATGCATGTGTTGAAATTTCTTCTTTTATGTATTGCGGCACAGTAGCTAAGGTGTTTACCACCTCTAACTAACGCGTATAACGTATGTAATGTATGTAGGCATTGTCTTATATGCGGCAGTCAGTCAGTGGCAATACGCCTTGCTTGAGAGCTTTAAAAACCACTAAAAGTCGTTCTTGTAAGTTGAAGAATCATCGTCCCGTTTGGTAACCTGGGCTTCGACACTGCCGTCAACAGGATGCAAATACCAATGTTTCATTTCAGCAACATATAATCGTTACCGGTAGATACGGGACTTCTTACTGACTCGAACCAGCTGCATACAAGCCAGACAGTCTGGCCCCTATCCCGAAAGGCACCAGACAATCGTTTCGCACTGTTGTGGCTCGTCACTTCGGGACTGTTTGTTCGAGTGACACCTGTGCACCCATTTCCATTGTTCCCTCCATATATCCCTCTATATTTTTAGTGGTGTTATTTTAGTCCATCAACAGTACGTACTGTAAACGCTGTATACGCACCCGCTTTGGTATGTAAAGCAAGTAAGAAAACGTTACAACGACGAGGGATATCTCTGGGTAGCCATTTCTTGCGTAGTCAGGATGGACATTTATTCGTTTTCAGACCGATCTAATGGGCTACTAAACGGTAACTTGGTGATCCCCAAAAATTTGGTAGAGAAAATCCGCAGAATCTGGTGGTGTTTAAGAGGACATAAGAATTCTACCGTGTACATACTCATAGAGAATGGAAGATACTTCAATGGGTCCACCTCGATAGATAAGGTGGTCCGCGATCATATCCATCCGTATTCGATAATTATCAGATACAACGGAATAAAGCTCCTTAAGGAAACCAAAACATCGTCATGCTGATGATGATGCATACACAGCAATGATGCACGAGAGTAAAAAACGTCTGGGACTTGAAGGCACAACAATCGCGGTCCGAAAGCGCGTTTTTCTAGCCCCACGTGTTTCAAGAGAGTGTGACTACTTCGAGGTAGAGGGGAGAGCCTGGCATACGCATGTATTGGCTGGACATGGAGTCCGAGTGCAATGGCATGACAAAGCGGGGCTAGCGTGCACCTAGGAAACTACCGCGGATGAACGGGAAAGAAAGACCGCAATGCGAAGTGGTTAACGCCGATTTTTCATAGTTTTGCGCGGTACATGGGGTTGATGAGTACGAGGGCTAGCGGCCCACTGGATCTAGGCATTAACTTCATGATCGTTGTCTCGCGACGCATACATGAATCTGAAAACATTTGCTACACCTCAAACGCAAGTGGTAGTGAGGTAAGTGGCAGCACATACCGATTGAAACAGAGATGGGAGCTGAGATATTCGTATTCGCTATCCAACTGGCAGGAGGTGATCGAAAATTGCAGTCAACCTATAAGAGAGCGGATGTATTATGAACAGGGATCGCTCTATACCACTCAGAAAAGTGCTCTATTTTATCGGGACAAGTGATTTTCGGCACAGGAAGATCCGGTGATTGCGGGATCACTCCACAACAATATCGGTGCAAATAGATAAACCGAACCTATAAGAAAATCACGAAAGGGAAGACGGACATCAGTAGTACGCCGCACATCGTACAGAGGCTTTGTTGTCACGTAAACACCAAACGTTGCGGGGAAGGCTGCGTATACCATAAGGTGGTCCGCACCTACGCAGATTCGAACCGATGACCTCCGGATTACAAGGCTGGCTAGCCGAACAACCTCCCCGTGGTGGCAGTTGAGTGGTTCAAATGTAACCCACCCGTGCCGGCAAATCGTTCGGCGGTAGTGTTCCAGAACGTGGTGGGTTTTCGTCTGGTAAGCGTTCTCTCTATAAAAAGCCACAAATGTTCGTTTATCAACACTGTGACATGTCGAATGTGACTCGCCCCAAACTAAAGTCACTGTCCCGTGGATATCTGGATAAGTATATCCAATCCACGGACATCAATCGCCTATTCTTACATCACCGACGCTATCAAACAGCCACAAATAAAACGGCCCACTCACAAGCACAGGCTACAAAGTTACACCTGTACACAATTACATACGCATCTATACACACATTCAGTGTTATGGCAAAGAGGTTGTATTTTTGTACATTTTTGTTCACACTTTGTTATCATAACATGGTCATGCCTGTAAACGCGTGCTTAGCGTTGTAGAGAATAAAAAGTTTATTTATTTAACCTTTACGGTCACCGGCCGACATGAAAACTACGGCGTTCGTGCATACTTCCATGAACCAAGGTGTAGTAGATTAATGATTGCTAAAGCTGGCTCAGAGAACCAAACGTGATGATATCCGTTTTGAGCTGATAGCCACTTCAAGTACCACTGGTGCAACGATTCTGAGGGTTAAAAGGATTTCTTGGCAAAATACTATACTATGATATATTGAACAAGCCATACAAACTCATTACAATGCTCACCGTCTTCGCACAATCAAAGCTGGACGAAACGTGGAAGCTCAAAGCAATCTCAGAGGAAAATATGTACGAAACTCCGTAGCCATTTTTGTCAACCGGCCCGAATCCACCTCCAGAGCAGCGGTGTGCATCGGGATGATCAGGGGGAATGTTAAACTCTGCCGTCTGATTTGTTGGGGGTTTGGCTAGTTGAAAGGCGCCATGGTTCGCTCAAGATCTAGAAGTAATAAAGGAAGAGTGAAATGAAAAGTGCAGTCGATGAGATATAGAAAGTGGTGGAACGAGTGAATATGAAAACAGACACACGACCTATGGAAAGTGTAAAGGCAGTAGAACATTTCGTCAAAGTTGGCTTCGCCATCTGGTTTGGTGCAGCGGCACGTAGTGCAAAGCATAAAATACACCTCACTACCTATTAGCTTATTCAGTGGACCATTAGTCCTCCTATCGCAGGTATAGTAATCACTACTCTTTCCCCAGGAATAAGACTGTTCCAGCAAACAAGGAAATTTCCACATAACTAAGTAGGGCGAAATGTAATTACAATTTGAAACAAGAAACCTCTTTCAAAATTCCAAAAAAGAGCAGACGATGTAAATTGAGATGACTTGATTATTTCATGCATCCTGAACAGTCACGAATTTGCGACCAATGGTGAGTATACAAATTCACATGTAGCTGCGGAAACAGCTATGTTGTCACAGTGGTCCAGGTTTAGGTGTTAGCATTAACGAACACATCCCCAAGTGATCAGGCAGCCGGATGGGATCTGTGTCGCCAAAATCGGGTGAATTTATAAATCGAGCTACCTTGACAACTTTAGCGTATTTGCTGGCCGCCAAGTCAACGCGGATGGGTTAGCCACAGCCTCATTGCGCAATCAGCGGTCCCCATTCTCAGGCTACTGGAAGCCACTATGATTGATCGGGAGCGAACATCCCTATACGTGTACTAGAGTTGACTGTAATCTTAAGGTTGCCATTGCGGCGAAAGACGCATCGATCGGCCGCAAAGTGGAAATTGGTCCATCCCTTATGACACCATTTTTAGTCTACTTAATATTGATTGCAGGTTCGTGATCGATGAAAATGCATGAAATAAGCGAGCCATCTCACAACCTCAACTTAATGTTCTTGTTTCAAATTACAGTTGTCGAATGGAAACAGGAACAACGCGGTATAATGGACAGAATATACGGGCACAACTGCGTTGAATAAATGCATTCCGTAGGACAATATCTCTACCAAGTAGTGAAGACGGATTAGCACGCCTATCACCTAGAAAATCGATGGAAACTCGTTTTATCAGGCAAATGCGTGGTGCACAACGGTAAGAGCCAGATTCACAACACGTGCGAGAGTACTGATGAATCAGAAGAATGCGAAATGGTTTTTTATTAGCTTGCCGGAACGTATGAAATGGAACACACCAGACTGGATCTTGGTAGTAAACATTACAGCGCAACACTGATGTGAAACACAGGCACGCCGTATTTGGGGAATCAAACGCACCCAAGGCGGTGGCTGGACCGTAGTCCGCTCCACACTGAGTGCATGGAAACACTCTTCGAGCCTAGCACGGCCACAAGGACCGTGCACCCTGTCCCTTCCAATAACGACCAACTGTCTCCTGGAGACAGTATGGACGAGGTAGTGGGTAATAGACAGGTAGGCACTCTGTCAACATGCACATCAAGCGCAGCCACACCTGGGATGTCGAACAACAGCCGATCATTCGAAATGCCAATATCATATAAGAGATATCGAATAACGTAAACCTATACGACGACATAAATACTCGCTAAATTAGCATATGGAGTAAAGTGGTTATAAGCGAATTCGCGATAAGTACAAAATGTCCGAAAGTTATTGAAAAATTACCACGTGATAAAGTTGCTTAAGGTTACCACAATTAGCATGAGTGAGGTGTGCAAGTTAGGAGAAGATTATCAAGTACACAGAATAAACCAAATAAAGTGGAATGAATTTTATCCACATTAAAAAAACCTAGTTTAAGTGCAAATTGATTTGCCCAACTGCAGTGAAGACGCATCATGAATGCAACATCAGCCTCAGCATGGGGCACACACGTACGTATATGGTTGGCGGTATCAGGTTTCCGATTCGTCTGTCAATGTGGCCAGCCACAGGACGCCTGCGCCTACAGAGGTACCATGGATGGCTTGTGCTTCACCACCCACAGCTCCAACCACACACCCCATATCCAGTGTAAACCCAAAGGAATAAGACCGGGAGGCATGCGGATGGGAGCCACGTTTCATCAACGGAGCCTTCCCACACTCCTTCACAGGCAAACACAAACACGCTGTATTCGCGGAATCAAGCGCACACAAGGCGGTGGCTGGACCGTAGTCCGCTCCACACTGAGTGCATGGAACCGCTCTTTGAGCCTAGCACGACTACACGGACGGGGCATCCCGTCCCCTCCAGCAACGACCCACTGTCTCCTGGAGACAGTATGCACGAGGTAGTGGGTAATAGACAGGTAGGCACTTTGTCAACATGCACATCAAGCGCAGCCACACTTGGGATGTCAAACAACAGCAGATTATTCGAAATGCCAATATCATATAAGAAATATCGAATAAAGTAAACCTATATAAGGACATTAACACTCGCTAAATTAGCATATGGAGTACAGTGGTTATAAGCGAATTCGCGATAACTAAAGATGTTCGAAAGTTATTGAAAAATGTCCACAAGAGAAAATTGCGCAAGGTTATCACGATTAGCATGAAGGAAGTGCGCGAGTTAGATTATCAAGTACGCAGAACAAACCAAATCCAGTGGAATGAATTTTATCCACATTAAAAAGACCTAGTTTATAAATATAAATATGTATTT